ATAGTTGGCCACATGTCAAATGTCTTAATTAAAACTCATCTTCTTCACTTTCCTGTGAAATCTTATTTACTAGACTGCACATTTTGGCATGCTGCATAATATCTTCACTTTCTGTATTCTAAATGCTCTGGTATCTTGAAAGATCAGCATTTAGTTGCTTCAGTCTTCAAGTTATAATATCTGGTATGAGCTACTGTGTAGACAATATGTCCCTGGGTTTTGAACATCTAAGAACAGGAATAACTCCGACAAACCGATGAAGTTAATATACTAAATCCAATATTAATCCTACTTAGAATTGACCGATTGAAACCAATAGGACTTAAGTTGGTTGTAATTGGCAGGTCCCATTAATTGAGTCATAGGATTAATATGAGATTCAATGCAAGATCTACCAGTGCTTGGTTCAGAAGGATCTTGCCATTAAAGCACATGCTTTAGAGTGCAAATTCAAATGATGTTAATTTCTTAACAAAATCAATTGATGAGACTTTGCCTTTGCCTTTCTTTAGGACCTGTCAATTTAAAACAAGTCAGATTCTTCACAGATGTTGACAATAATGATGATTTCCATCCTGCCTTCCTCCCAGAGTTGGGACTCACAGTTCAAAAAAGCAAGATAGTTAAAAACATACAAAAAATGAACATTAAAACAGAACTAAACTAGTCACAATATTAAAACACTTCAACTCTCTAGTTAAAAGAACAAAATGCAATTTAAAAGATTGAAAAGCTATTGAGAACAGTGCAATACACCCCCCCCAGCCTATTCTTTAAAAACTTTCTGTATTAAAAGCATGTTTCTGTATAAAAAGGGTTTTGACTTCCCACAGAGGGACAGCAGGTAGGGGCCATTCTGGCCCCCCTGGGAAGGGAGTTTCAGAGTCTTTTTATTTTGTTGTTAACTGCTTTCGCGTCAACCAGAATTTTTGTTTGGTTATTTTATGACAAACAGTTATGGAATATCCACTCCTAGGGGCCTGACTGGCACCAACACTGCTGTCATTCTAGCACCAAGTAGAAATATAGCTATTTTCTAAGCCTTTGGGGACATAATTGATTTCATCCATGTGCATATGTGAGCAGTTTTATATTGTTTTATCTGCTTTTAAACTGTCATAAGTGTTAAATGTTCTCATATACTTTTGACATTTAAATTATTTTTACTGTTTTATACTGTTCACACTGATTTTATTGTATGCTATCTAGAGATCATCCAAATATATGGTGAGATATAAATATTTTAATGAAACAAAATGAAGTTGAGTCTATATCATCATTATTGATATTTTTAAATTTATATCCTTCAGTGAGCTACCTCATTTCTTCCTAAGAACAACCCTGAGAGATAGGTTTGGTTCAGAGACTGTGACTGACTCAAGGTCACCCACTGAATTGCATGAACAAATGGAAATTTGAACCCTCTTCTCCTGAGTCCTTGTTTAATCCTTTAATCATGACTCCATCCTGGCTCTGAGGCTTAGGCTCACAAAAATTAAGTAGTGCACCTAGCCCACTCATGGGCTGATATCAGTATTGTCTACTCTACTTTTTAAAAAAATTAGATTGCCCAATCTGTTTTTAGATTTACAACAAAAGACTATATACTCAGGATCTTATAAGTATCTGAACTTCGGTGTATCTACCTGTAACAACATAAAACACCTTGTTGACCCATATTAAGTTTACCTACTCTTTGCAAGTATAACCCCAACCAGAAACATAAACTGGTCTATCAGAAAATTATTAGCAATCCACTTGCACAGCAATATTTACTTTCTGTTCACACCTTATTAGATACTGTAACAAAGCAAACATGCGATGTAAATTTTTTCTGAGCAATGTTGCATTTCTCAAGTTCTGCAGAGCTTTGTTTTGCATACACACCATCCATTCCCAGTCTTATCTTGGTGGTCTCTCTTATGGCTCCATTCAATTACCCTTGCCCATTGTGCACAAGTCCACAAGGCCCTCTAATGCCCTCACCATAACAAATTAGTTGCTGTACTGGCACTTTAAAAACAACTCACCCTGGTCCATCACAGAACAATCTTTGATAATCAGTCTCTAGCCATGCTTTACCTTGTAGGTTGGAATTATGCAAATGCTGTTAGACTGAACCTCTCAGCATTTACAGCCAGCGTACACAATGTGAGAAATGCTGGCAGGTGAAGTCCAACAGCATCTGAAATACTGCATGATTCCAATCCCTACTATAGCAAGACTTCCTGTGTACAGTCACCACTTTACAGCTTCTGACATTTTTTTGATCCTACTGTCTCTGTATTCCCCTAGACTTGCATTTTTTATCCTACTCCAAGTTGTGCCAGTGAAAGATGTGGTAAGCATTGGCCACAGGGCTTGAATCTGTGTGATGCCCACCATCTCCTCACTCCAGATGAGAAATTCAGAATTTCAGACACTAAAGCATAATAGCACGTTTCTTCACCAATAAAACAAAAACTCACTGGTTCACTTAGGGAAACAACAGTAGTTTGGGATCAACTGCTTCAAAGGAGCCAGAAGATGCTATGCAACAGTTGATATGAGACTCAGGTGCATCTCACCAACTACAGACTGCATTTCATGAGTGCTACCATCCTTAAAAGCAACACTAAAAATCCACCTTGACAACACTTCTTTACTTTTGAATTCCACACTCGCTTTAGAAACTGGGAGAGAGGGATGAGCACTAGGGACATTACCCACCTTATTTGTTGCAGTAGCACTGGATCCTGCAACCACAGGCACATTCGTCACTTGCACTGACAAGTAGTTGTTGTCTATGAGAGGCCAGGCCCCTTCCACTTTACATGTCTGGAAGTGATCCTTAAAGGTTCGTAGATGGGGATCTCCAAATAAGCCACAGAAAAAGTAGGTAGGAGGAGTTTGCTCTCCTCCACGATGTTCTCTGGCTCCCTGGCGTCCATTGTAATTACATGGGTCATGTATCACTTCAGGGTTAGTTGAGGATGTTGGGCCATCCTTGGAGCAGTTCCTTTGGCTCATGAGGTCACTGATCCCCAGCACAGCAGAATGATAGACCAGGTTCCCACGGCAAACTTTGGAATTGCGAGTGGTGCAGGCAGAATAGGCACGCAGGGCTTTGCAGAACTCCAAATCAAAGCCATCAATGGCAGAGTTTAGGTGAGAAGTCAGTGATACAAAGTCTGTGGTGCACTTCTGGATGCGACATGGTGTCTGCAGCTGGCAATCACCTAAGCAGAGAAGCAAAGGAAAGAACATTAGCTTTTGACATAACATTCACAGGAATGAAAGTGTAAAGATTGCCCTTTTAAGAAAAGGTGGCCACAATGTAGACTACAACCACATGCAATCCACCCCTGTCCCCATGTACTCTCCCAAGTTCCTGTGGGCCACAACTGACCACCATATCTACAGGGGAGGGGAAATCCAAAAAGTTATTTCATATTTATCCCACCTTTCTTCCAATATAGGACCCAGAAAAGGCAATCTATGTCCCCAGAAGCCTTTGGTATGCACATCTAGGGCTATTTCCTTCCTGTTTCTATGAATAGGCCCTTTGAGGACAAAAAAACCCAGATGGATTACAGTTGCCCCTCCATGTCCATGGACCTGAAATCCGCGGAATTGGAAATCTGCAGAGGGGTGAGCGCCATTACCATGAATGGGGTGCATGACCAGGGGTGCACTCCATTCAAGTCAATGGGGCTTGAATATATGCAACCCTCGCAACTCATGGGGGGTGGAGGTCCAGAACGGATCCCTGTGAATTATGAGGGATGACTGTACATTTATAAAGTACACAGCACCCTCAAGAGCTTCTAGGGACACAATGTGCCATTTGGAATACTTCTGAGGGAGGGAAAGGGTACAAGGACAGCCTGTAAATTCCATGGGAGAGCAAAAAGGACCTCTAGAAGTTACCCACTTTGCTTTAAAATAATTCATATGATACTCACCAACTTAAAGATGTATACAAATAGATCTCTATAGTATTATTTTTTTCCTCCACAACAGCATTCTCAAGATGTTGAGCCCTAGGTCTTCATGCAAAGCCCCATGAAAATGGTACCAATTTCAATGGAACCTCCCCCTTAACAAATGTGCATAGGATTGCCATCTCACTCTATGGTCAACAAACATTTAACTTGGCTGATGTTAGCCACCTAGGTCCCAAGACAGCCTGCAGCTCAGTCCTCTGCATGCTTGATTGGAAGAAAGTCTCCACTATCCATAAATGAGTCTTGTTTCCAGCAAGTATGCTTAGGAGTTCAGCCAAAAGTGGTTTATATTTTGGTTTTTTGTTTGTTTTAAAGTAGTGTGTCTAATACAGCACTTAATTCCCAAAGACCAAACTGAATTTAAGCACAAAGACCATATGTAAATACAGCAACATTTTATTTATGCTTTTGACTTAAAAATAACGAAGATTTGTAAGCAAGTATATATATATATATATATATATATATATATATATATATCCTACATGACCAGCTCCTTTCCCAAAGCTCACACAAGGAATTGGAATGTTTTACAGTAAGGAAGTCTAAATTTTTCTATCAGAATTGAGCATTAGAATGGTTTGAAAAGCTGGTATCTTTATTTACCTTTCATGATTCTGATTTATAAAGCACACAGGAATAGTTCAAAAGAGTGTACGTGTGTGTGTGTGTGTGTGTTTTGTGTCTTCAAATCATTTCCAATTTATGATGGCCCTAAGGTGAACTTATCAAGGAGTTTTCTTGGCTATATTTGTTCAGAGCAGGGGTCAGTAACCCATGGCCCACACCCAGCCCGTGGACCCC